CTGTACACTATATATATAGTAGATAGAATGATTCCACTGTACACTATATATATAGTAGATAGAATGATTCCACTGTACACTATATATATAGTAGATAGAATGATTCCACTGTACACTATATATATAGTAGATAGAATGATTCCACTGTACACTATATATATAGTAGATAGAATGATTCCACTGTACACTATATATATAGTAGATAGAATGATTCCACTGTACACTATATATATAGTAGATAGAATGATTCCACTGTACACTATATATATAGTAGATAGAATGATTCCACTGTACACTATATATATAGTAGATAGAATGATTCCACTGTACACTATATATATAGTAGATAGAATGATTCCACTGTACACTATATATATAGTAGATAGAATGATTCCACTGTACACTATATATATAGTAGATAGAATGATTCCACTGTACACTATATATATAGTAGATAGAATGATTCCACTGTACACTATATATATAGTAGATAGAATGATTCCACTGTACACTATATATATAGTAGATAGAATGATTCCACTGTACACTATATATATAGTAGATAGAATGATTCCACTGTACACTATATATATAGTAGATAGAATGATTCCACTGTACACTATATATATAGTAGATAGAATGATTCCACTGTACACTATATATATAGTAGATAGAATGATTCCACTGTACACTATATATATAGTAGATAGAATGATTCCACTGTACACTATATATATAGTAGATAGAATGATTCCACTGTACACTATATATATAGTAGATAGAATGATTCCACTGTACACTATATATATAGTAGATAGAATGATTCCACTGTACACTATATATATAGTAGATAGAATGATTCCACTGTACACTATATATATAGTAGATAGAATGATTCCACTGTACACTATATATATAGTAGATAGAATGATTCCACTGTACACTATATATATAGTAGATAGAATGATTCCACTGTACACTATATATATAGTAGATAGAATGATTCCACTGTACACTATATATATAGTAGATAGAATGATTCCACTGTACACTATATATATAGTAGATAGAATGATTCCACTGTACACTATATATATAGTAGATAGAATGATTCCACTGTACACTATATATATAGTAGATAGAATGATTCCACTGTACACTATATATATAGTAGATAGAATGATTCCACTGTACACTATATATATAGTAGATAGAATGATTCCACTGTACACTATATATATAGTAGATAGAATGATTCCACTGTACACTATATATATAGTAGATAGAATGATTCCACTGTACACTATATATATAGTAGATAGAATGATTCCACTGTACACTATATATATAGTAGATAGAATGATTCCACTGTACACTATATATATAGTAGATAGAATGATTCCACTGTACACTATATATATAGTAGATAGAATGATTCCACTGTACACTATATATATAGTAGATAGAATGATTCCACTGTACACTATATATATAGTAGATAGAATGATTCCACTGTACACTATATATATAGTAGATAGAATGATTCCACTGTACACTATATATATAATAGATAGAATGATTCCACTGTACACTGTATATATAGTAGATAGAATGATTCCACTGTATACTATATATATAATAGACAGAATGATTCCACTGAACACTGTATATATAGTAGATAGAATGATTCCACTGTACACTATATTTATAGTAGATAGAATGATTCCATATATAGTAGATATAATGATTCCACTTTACACTGTATATATAGTAGATACAATGATTCCACTGTATACTATATATATAATATACAGAATGATTCCACTGAACACTGTATATATTTCCACTGTACACTATATATATAATACATAGAATGATTCCACTGTACATTATATATATAATAGATAGAATGATTCCACTGTAGACGGTATATATAGTAGATAGAATGACTCCACTGTACACTATATATATAATACATAGAATGATTCCACTGTACACAATATATATAGTAGATAGAATGATTCCACTGTACACTATATATTTAAAAAGTATTTACATCATACACAGTGTCTTAATAAACGGAGAGTTTACTGATGAAAGTGAGAGCCGATGTGTTGCTACCGGTCATGTTTATTATATACATAGAAGATTAATGGCGGCGTTTAAAATCAAATTTTTCATATAATTCATCATATCGAATTGATAGCCCATGTTATCGTGCATACAGGCAAATATAGCCTTATAAATCAGTTTCCAAATGAATAAGGCGTTTTTCTATCAATATACATATAACAATGATTTATCTAATGGTTAGTACTGAACGTATGATGACCTTACTGATAACACGCGTTTTACCTATTTCGATCTACTTCACAAGGGAATAGAAAAAGAACCGCGAATACCTAAATGATATTTATAGCTAAAGAACCGCTCTGTTTCTAATGATAATGATGACAATCTAAATGTGATTCCCCGTTAGTGCGTATTTTACCTGTACAGAAAGCAATTAATAGCCGCCATCTTGACAAAATCAGGAGATGTATTCTTACATGTAACTACTACTGATAATATGACGACCAACACGCCACCTGGCTACATAATACACCACATCAAAGATTTCTATTTCCGGTTAATGAAACCATTTAGTAATAGAATATATACATGGGCAGTGTGTATGATGTTGTGAATAATATATTTAGATGTGTTTTCTATATTTGGACGATCGTACCCTTTGTTTTTTAATGAGTTGAATTTATCGAGGTTNCCACCCCCGCCTCCCGGTATGTTTTGTAATGGTTTATAGTATTTTTACTAGAAAAGATATCAAGAGAATACCTACTATCAACAAAAATATAATTCGAACTCAAAATCGATAATATTAGGGCAAAATATGAACAAATGAAATATTTACACTGAGATCCTTGAAAACGTACAAGAAGAATAAGACCAGATGTTCATGAAGGGTAAGCGTCTTTTGATCCATGGACGACACTTGTTCCAGTTCATTTAGCTGTAAATGAGTACGTGCTTTGGCACTGTTAGAATTGTAGAATGCTAGCTGTGAGCGCCGCAATGAGGTTCTTATATACCGCTTTATCACAACCTAGTTCGTATTTGTCGTCTCAAAGCGGTTATCCGTGGTTAGAGGGCCTTTGCCGCCAGCCAATACCTTTCTCAATTCTCTCTCAACAGCCAGAGCTGCCATTTCTAGCACTGCCCAACCACGTACTCATTTACAGCTGAGTAGACTGGAACAAGCGAAGTAAAGTATCTTGCTCAAAGATACAACACAGTGCCGTGCCGTGACTCGTACACGCAACCCTTCGGTCACGAGCCCGGCGACCTACCACTAGACTACCGTGCCTCAAGATTATGCACAACAGAAAATATTTTAGAAATCTTCGATAATCAAAATCAGAATTAAGAATTAAGCGCAAGAATAACAGCGAAAGTGCTGAAATAAGACAGAGATAAATAGTCCTTAACCGCTAAGATATGTATGTTTACAGTACGAACAGAGAGAAAGCTGACTTCCTGATTCCGCTCGCGTTAACTAGTTATTATATATATAGTGATATATAGCAGGACCCAGCCACCTACTCATCTTTACTTGTCATTTCCAGTATAATAACTAGCTGTTCACACGATTTTTGTCATTAATAAATAATCTTTACTCGTGACATTCAAATTAATTTGTCCATAACAACCACATTTACCATAACAACTCGATTACGTAGGCTGTATCAGACCTTCGGACAGTACGCTAAAACAGCGGGCACCTTGTGTCCACCGGTGCTGTTATCAATTTTTCACACGTTTTTGTTTTCGTATTTACCAATTAATGGTTACTCCCCAATGGTCTGGTGGCTTGATTGACATTTTGAGGACCAGTAAGTGGCATGTGTACCCGTTCATTTCTATCGTAAATGAATAATTAAGGATTCCAGCCATTTACCACAGACCGAATTCATTTGATCATGAACTCCTCTTCACTAAAAACAAGCTCTGCCCCCTGGCATGTGTCTAATCATACTGATGTAAAAGCTCTCGTCTGATCTATTAACAATGCTATCGACACAAACTCTCTAGTGATTAAGAATAAGTTCCGGTTTGTGCGTGTCATGCCTAAATAACGATCCGAACGGCGGTAAGAACACATAATAACAAAAGGTTGGATTCTGGGATAGGTCTCGATGTGGTCAATCAGACGCCGGGAAATGTCCCGAATAAAAGATAAAAAAATATATATCCAACATCAAAAATTAGCATTGTTTGTGTCTTTTAAACCTCCCATTTCAAGAAATAGTTATTAACATAGAATCGGCAAAATATAACATACAAAGAATTATTTAGAAGATGTGATTATGCCAAAATATAAACCAAATAAAGTAAAAGTCCGAGGAGTTCAAAATGTACCTTTAGTTGGGTTTTAGGAACAGGTGCTTATGATTCCGACTAGTTAAATTTTGTATTTCCCGATTTTATTCAAAGTGAAAAAGTAATAACCTGTATGAATAAGTTGGTATGAAGTGGACTTTTATCCAATTTAATATAATTGAAGCTCGCTCATCATACAATGATAAAAGTTTTACCGAACAATTTTGATAATGGGAAACAAAGAAAGACAGATATGCATATCGTTTATTCAAGTAGATATTAACAAAATATTCGCAAGATATCTTACTCCTAGACCGACACATCTTTAAATTTCCATCAAATATATCTTTTTTCGCGAATCAGGTTCCTTCGGAAACAGATCAATGAAACAGTTTGGAAATTGCTGTCAACTACCTATATTTGTTGCCAGATTACAATTTTTGTGTTAAAATGCAATTGCAGGCGATCCAGAATGTTCTACCTTTATTTATACCAAACATACTTAATTGTTGAATAAATAGCGAACTCAATTCTCGCATTTACTTTATAAAAATCGAAGCCGCAAAAATTGATATTCGCGAAAACAAGACGAGTTGCAGTAAGTTGCAGTATGGTGTACTCACAAAGAAAGGAATGAGTCCTTCCTCACGGTCACGTTCTATGGCGGATTGTAGACTCTCTCCGCGCATGCTCAGTTGATCGTCACTGCAAAGATATCTCATTTTCACGAGACCAATTAGTCCTGCCTTCTCAACAGAGGAGTGTGCCTGGAAACAACAAGGCGTTATCAGTGTAGGAGTCACATTCATGAGATGATTTATATATTAGTGGAAAAGTATGTTATTTTATAAAAAAAAAAAAATGTGTGATATTTTCTGTAGTTTGCTTATATTTACTGCATAACGCTTATATTTGAGAGTTGTTTTTCTTCTATATTTGTGGATGCTATAAATACAGTGAACTCCTTGCCCTCCTGATAGAGTGTGATCTAAACTCATTACAGCGTCACATGTATTTTAATATTAAGTGATACATTTATTACGAAGTGTGTTTGTCGTGATACCAGCTTGTATTCAACAGCAGATCAGATTAGATTTCATTAAGAATATATACTTCAAGTATGACAATAGCTACAGAAGATACATTACTTAAATATTACAATGGTTTTAAAAATACTCTGTCCTATATTTTAAATCTGAAGGCGACAAAAAGAATTTACAGACCCTTTTCATGTTAAACATCAGATGTGACAATGGATTTTGAATGTATTTTACCGAATGTTCAAATCAGATTCAGACAAACCTTCCTAGTTGAGGAACAGCTACCTAAAGCATTGGTGTTTAGGGGTGATGATTGCTTAAGAACAAATCAATGTTTATGTCTGACATTAAATATGACTTCGGCATGATATTAATTTCACTTTTAAACCTGTTTATTGATCTTGAAAGTATACCTTACATCCTATTTGATTCAAGAATATGCTTTTCGGGGTTGAAATACGAATAATGCAACGTATTAGCTTACCTGATCGGAACAGTAGGCGACAAGCCTCGCGTTTATCTCAGCATCGTCCAGTCCCGAATGCAAACACTTGTATTTTCGGAACACCTCGGTTCTCGCGGCAAGCAAAGCTATGAATGTCGAGTCACTAGCTGTGAGCTGTAATACAACAAAGAGGACAATAGGGTTGGTCGTTGTGTTTGTCATTATAGGACTTTTTCACGAGCAAAGAAATAAAAAAAAAATCCGTACCATGTCTATCCATTGGCTATTTGGAATTGGAGATGATGTTTCATGTCGATATTCAATGTATTGTAATAACCTGTTGACATAAATAGTTTTGACTGCAAATGTTAGCTTCACTCGTTGACACTAGGACCCTGGTCTTAAAATCCGCTTTACATTACTTATACATGTTTCTTTTTATAAGTGTCCGTATTGCAGAAAATCAAATTCATCGGATAAACATTTCAAACTCTTCGATCTGGACCTGAACTGATGCCGAGAGTTATAAAACTAAGACGTGACGTCACAAATACCTGGATGACTCCGCCTCCCATAGTTTGTTTGTTGCTATGGAGAAATTCTGACGGTAGTCCAATCATCTTTCCAAGCCAGTCCATGACGATTGTCTCCAGTTCGGTACAGGCAGGACTCGAGGCCTGAATTTGGGAAAAGGATCATTAGTTTGCATAGATTGTTCAACTTCATATACAGTTTTATTAATTAAGTCCTGGATATTAATTTACGTTCAAAACCAGGCTTAACCTGACGGTAACATTAATTGCATTTCAAACGTTAAACGATCCCATTAAAGTGGTAGAATATGTTTTGAATTGGTTCAACCGTTGGTAATAGACAAGGTTTGATTCAAACAATTCCTTCGGAACACCTCGCCCCGATTATAGTACTGTACCACTCATGATTTTAGATGAACGAAGTGAATTGGCCGAGGTGTTCCGAATGTTTGACAATCGGCACACTGATCATCTCTTTCTCTTTGGGACAGTTAAGATTAGAAAAATTAACATCGACATAACAGAATGATATAACATCAGGTCGACATAATTATGTAACCGAAATATACAGTTCATGACAGAAAACACATGATATCAAAGCATTGATTATGTGACATAACATATACGGGTTCTATACTGAGTCCAACTTACCCACGTGAAACCGAGGCAGTTGATAGCGTCCGCAAGCATGTCCCCAAGGAGTGACGGGAAGGAGTTAAGGGCGGGAAAGTAGGCGTGCATGTACGGACTCTGCCAATGTGTAACCTGGAAACGATAACAAACTATAATACAATTTTTTATACAGCAATTTTATCCGGTCGGTAACGGAATTTGTTTGAATGTGGTTTGGCGTCCTCGCAACAGCCCAGGTCATATGAGGACGGTTGTCCAGGGATACAACAGCCCAGGTCATATGACGACGGTTGCCCAGGGATACACCACCGGGTAAAGGTAGCAGACACGAAAGATAGTAAACAGGAAAAGAAAACGATCGGTGACGGGAAAGGGATACAAATGATAGCGTGGAATATTTAGACTAACATCGAATAATATTAACCTACTATCGATGCACAATGCACGAAGCAGTAACGACCTGATTTTATAGAAAAGAGTAAAGTAAGAAATAAAAACAGAGATAAATAGTCCTTAACTCCCGGGCATGTCCCTACCTAATACGTCCCCAAATCCCGATCAACTCTTACACACAGACATATACCTGGTTCCAAATACTATCACAAGCAGACACCTAATGCCTTTCTGTGACAACATGTACCAAGCTTGGCATTTTCCCTATGAAGACCCATTTGGTCAAACGTTCAAATGGAATTTTATCTAGCCATGTTGCAAATATTTTTTCTGAAGGTTTGCCTAATCCCAGGCTATTTATTGTTTTGATTGTTATCTCCTGCATGTTCAAGAATGTTTTGGAATGATGTGCCAAATATTGGACACCCTCACCCTGCAGATTCGCAGATCGGATAGGTGGTATCGGCGACATTGATGAAATCAAAGGTGATCCGCTGCCCAATAAGAACTCGTTAATACTCTTAGTTTAGGGTATCATTAACTTAGGTGACAGCTTTCATACGGTATTATCTCGTATGAGAACGTAAAACACGAAACAAAACAAAACAAAATCCGTAACTGAATTTGTTTCTGAATGTTTCATTGAGCTAACAGAGCTTGAACCCGATCTGAACTACATCACACAGTGGAACAGAGCTAGCGTGTCTAATGAAATCATATCTCCTTGTCAAACATTGACGTTATCTGGTAAAGTGCTGGAGTGTTTCTGGTCACTGACTACCGGTGTGTGCTCTGGGTGTACCTAACTTCCGGTGTTATTGTGTGACGTCATCAGACCATTAGTTTTGTTAAAACAAAATCTCGTTATTCAATTATCGTATAACTGGCAATTTTAACGACTCAAATTTACAGATTTTAATCCATAATTATGTGTTCTGTTTTTAATCCATTCGTTTCTAACTGTTTACAGGACTAGTCCGCAATAATCTATGGTTCATAATCTGTTATGAATGGTTTATTAAGAATACGTACACGTTATGAATGATTTTCAATGACGGAAGTTATATTTGTGGAAATAACTAGCCACGTATTTCATAGTTACAACAAGAGAATACCGCAATGTCAACACAAAGAAGCATAATGATAACTCAAAATCGATAAAACTAGGGCAAATATGACCAAAGGAAACCTTTACAAGAAGACCACTGTAACAGGAGAATAGGACCAGGTGTTCCGGAGGGGTAAGAGTCCTCGGTTTAATCTACAACACTCGCCATGTAAAATCTTTATTGGGAGGTCGAATCCAAGTAATGTGATGTCCTTACATCGAGAACTCGGGTAGTGACAACAAAACCGAAAGGTACTCTAATGCTATTTCTAATAGCTCATTAATTTCATCTGAAAACTGCGTGAACTGTTTTCGTTTTAGCTCCTGGAAGAGGTACCAAGTATAAAGAAACCAAGTGAATTGTATTTTTTGAAAATATAGCCTTTTGTATAGTTATTTTTACCTATGTTTAGTACGGTGAATGAAGTTACGAATACATGATGAACGCGATTGTATCACCTGGTGAACGCGATTGTATCACCTGGTGAAAGAAACTCTAATATATCGCCTGATATATAGAGAATAATACATGCCTTTTTTCATATCGCACCCAGTATCAACCCGAAACTCGAGGGTTGATACTGGGTGTGATATGGAAAAAGACATGCTTAATTCTGTTATTAACATACTTACTTATAAAATACGGATATTTCTACAATCATATTATCTGTTTTTCTTTTGAAATATTGAAAAACGAAAAAAAAATCATAAACAGGGGTGTGATACGGTTCGGGCTGATACCGAGAGGACTGATACGGGTTTTGGGGTGTGATACGGTTAGGGCTTATACCGAGAGGACTGATACGGGTTTTGGGGTGTGATACGGTTAGGGTGATACCGAGAGGACTGATACGGGTTTAGGGTGTGATACGGTTAGGGCTGATACCGAGAGGACTGATACGGGTTTGGGGTGTGATACGGTTCGGGCTGATACCGAGAGGACTGATACGGGTTTTGGGGTGTGATACGGTTCGGGCTGATACCGAGAGGACTGATACGGGTTTTGGGGTGTGATACGGTTCGGGCTGATACCGAGAGGACTGATACGGGTTTTGGGGTGTGATACGGTTCGGGCTGATACCGAGATGACTGATACGGGTTTTGGGGTGTGATACGGTTCGGGCTGATACCGAAAGGACTGATACGTATTTTGGGGTATGATACGGTTCGGGCTGATACCGAGAGGACTGATACGGGTTTTGGGGTGTGATACAGTGAGAGCTGATACCGAGAGGACTGATACGGGTTTTGGGGCGTGATACGGTTAGGGCTGATACCGAGATGACTGATCCGGGTTTTGGGGTGTGATACGGTTCGGGCTGATAGCGAGAGGACTGATACGGGTTTTGGGGTGTGATACGGTTAGGGCTGATACCGAGATGACTGATCCGGGTTTTGGGGTGTGATACGGTTCGGGCTGATAGCGAGAGGACTGATACGGGTTTTGGGGTGTGATACAGTTAGGGCTGATACCGAGAGGACTGATACGGGTTTTGGGGTGTGATACGGTTAGGGCTGATACCGAGAGGACTGATACGGGTTTGGGGTGTGATACGGTTCGGGCTGATACCGAGAGGGCTGATACGGGTTTTGGGGTGTGATACGGTTCGGGCGGATACCGAGAGGACTGATACGGGGTTTGGGGTGTGATACAGTTAGAGCTGATACCGAGAGGACTGATACGGGGTTTGGGGGGTGATACGGTTCGGGCTGATACCGAAAGGACTGATACGTATTTTGGGGTGTGATACGGTTCGGGCTGATACCGAAAGGACTGATACGGGTTTTGGGGTGTGATACGGTTCGGGCGGATACCGAGAGGACTGATACGGGGTTTGGGGTGTGATACGGTTCGGGCTGATACCGAGAGGGCTGATACGGGTTTTGGGGTGTGATACGGTTCGGGCTGATAGCGAGAGGACTGATACGGGTTTTGGGGTGTGATACAGTGAGAGCTGATACCGAGAGGACTGATACGGGTTTTGGGGGGTGATACAGTTAGAGCTGATACCGAGAGGACTGATACGGGTTTTGGGGCGTGATACGGTTAGGGCTGATACCGAGATGACTGATCCGGGTTTTGGGGTGTGATACGGTTCGGGCTGATAGCGAGAGGACTGATACGGGTTTTGGGGTGTGATACAGTGAGAGCTGATACCGAGAGGACTGATACGGGTTTTGGGGGGTGATACAGTTAGAGCTGATACCGAGAGGACTGATACGGGTTTTGGGGGGTGATACAGTTAGAGCTGATACCGAGAGGACTGATACGGGGTTTGGGGTGTGATACGGTTCGGGCTGATACCGAAAGGACTGATACGGGTTTTGGGGTGTGATACGGTTAGGGCTGATACCGAGAGGACTGATACGGGTTTGGGGTGTGATACGGTTCGGGCTGATACCGAGAGGGCTGATACGGGTTTTGGGGTGTGATACGGTTCGGGCTGATATCGAGAGGACTGATACGGGTTTTGGGGTGTGATACAGTTAGGGCTGATACCGAGAGGACTGATACGGGTTTGGGGGGTGATACGGTTCGGGCTGATACCGAAAGGACTGATACGTCTTTTGGGGTATGATACGGTTCGGGCTGATACCGAGAGGACTGATACGGGTTTTGGGGCGTGATACGGTTAGGGCTGATACCGAGATGACTGATACGGGTTTTGGGGTGTGATACGGTTCGGGCGGATACCGAGAGGACTGATACGGGGTTTGGGGTGCGATACGGTTCGGCCTGCTACCGAGAGGACTGATACGGGTTTTGGGGTGTGATACGGTTAGGGCTGATACCGAGATGACTGATCCGGGTTTTGGGGTGTGATACGGTTCGGGCTGATATCGAGAGGACTGATACGGGTTTTGGGGTGTGATACGCTTCGGGCTGATACCGAAAGGACTGATACGTATTTTGGGGTGTGATACGGTTCGGGCTGATACCGAAAGGACTGATACGTATTTTGGGGTGTGATACGGTTCGGGCTGATACCGAGAGGGCTGATACGGGTTTTGGGGTGTGATACGGTTCGGGCTGATAGCGAGAGGACTGATACGGGTTTTGGGGTGTGATACGCTTCGGGCTGATACCGAAAGGACTGATACGTATTTTGGGGTGTGATACGGTTCGGGCTGATACCGAAAGGACTGATACGAGTTTTGGGGTATGATACGGTTCGGGCTGATACCGAGAGGACTGATACGGTTTTTGGGGTGTGATACGGTTCGGGCTGATACCGAGAGGGCTGATACGGGTTTTGGGGTGTGATACGGTTCGGGCGGATACCGAGAGGACTGATACGGGGTTTGGGGTGCGATACGGTTCGGCCTGCTACCGAGAGGACTGATACGGGTTTTGGGGTGTGATACAGTTAGGGCTGATACCGAGAGGACTGATACGGGTTTGGGGTGGGATACGGTTCGGGCTGATACCGAGAGGACTGATACGGGTTTTGGGGTGTGATACAGTTAGAGCTGATACCGAGAGGACTGATACGGGTTTTGGGGTGTGATACGGTTAGAGCTGATATGGGATAGAGAAATTAGGTGTCGTATCGCATATGCAAAAAAAAGTATCTATCAGTAAGTATGTAATAAAATGGGTTTCTATAGATCAACTGCTGCAATCATGGAATAATAATGTTGATGAACGATCATGAAATGGTATAATATAAAGTTATGCCACACATTGAAATTATAAGCTAATATAATCCGAGATGGATGTTAAAGGACGCCATCCTTTCTGGTACATACATTAAAACTGTCATTGTAACATGTCACCAAATTACCTTATATATTAAAGAGAACTAAATCAGAAATATGTTACCCAGAAAACTAATGCTATAAAACCACGTGGTATTTATAGCCTAATTATACAGACACGATGGTGTCCCTAAGGAAACGTTTACTACAAATTATAAGACAGTTATTTATGTTCCGTTATGATATAAAAATAGTGATTATTTCTGTAACCATATTGTCTAGATTATAGATGCGCTCTGTATGAGTACTGAGTTTCTACGTCGATGCTTGATAAAACCTGATTTCTAAAACTATTCCATAATTTGAAAAGGTGACAAAATGTTGAGAGAGAACGGGGATAATAATGGAAGTTTATTAAAAATCAATGATGATATTGTCAAAGTAATCTCCAGTTCCGGGCAATTGTGTATAATTACCGAAACTCAATAAAAACATAGAACACTGCTTTGTTGTGACGGGGCGACAGTCGTTAAAAGCCTGGTTAGTTTTACAAAAAACAATTAAGAATAAATAAAATAATAAATGAAACATCATGAGAATATGTTTTTTCACCTAATGTTGAAATGCGCCAAATCGACTGTTAACAAACTGCATATATTCAAAATAAATTATTAATAGGACACAATTAAAACATTGTGTAAATGAATTTATTATTGATGTACATATTAAGATTTTGACTTGTAAACTGACGAAACTTTCGACAGGGGAGCCCTTTGATCAATTTAGATTTGACACACAAGTCCAGGCTTGGCATTTGTTTTCTATCATTTACGACATTTAATGGAAAAATGATAACATGTAATTATTGACAGATATCAATTCCGGATCGTACAAAGTCATGTTAGCTTACACGAACAAATCAAACTTATATTTTACAAAATCTTTAGAAATAACATATTTGGATCCGTAGGGACAATGGCAAAAACTTCCCTTAAGCGGAAGATCCGGAAGGGAAAATGGCGATTATGCTAGGCAGTGTGTCTGATTTTTGCTATTTTGGTGTTGCGTTTTATTCCCCACGAGAAGACATTTATTAACATACAATGATTCTCGTTATTTCGTCTTTTCTCCAAAAATGACGAAACAACGAAAATTAAAAATTATTTAATTTCATCTTTTCGCCGAAAGACGAAACAACAAAACAGCACAATACCGCCACGGTAGTGAGGGGCCCTCTTGGTCGCTTCATACAATGGGATATATCAGGCCTATCAGTCTATATCTAATACACGGGAACGGAAAAGTGATAATCTCGAGTATTATTCTATCTTCCAGCACAGGGTTTTTAACGATGCAGGCTGATAGAGACTATGGACAAGTTGTACGGCCGTCTTCACGATCTCGCAGGAACATTGGTGATTTCTCTTTGTGATATGATGTTCGATGTTTGTTGTATTAAGCTCATAACAATGCCTTGTGGTTTTGTTGTCACTACCCGAGTTATCGGTGAAGATCATGACATAACTTGGATGTGACTTTGATTTATATGTCGGGTGTCATCGAAGAAACAGAAGACGGTTACCCTTCCGAAACTCCTGGTCTTCTTACTCGCCTTGTACTTGTCCAATGGTATCCAGGTCAAGTGTCCCTTGTTGTTCCTAGTTGCCCTAGTTTTATCGATTTTAATTTGTTGACAATTCTGTATGCTCTTTTGTTTATTTTTCCAAATATCAATTCGTTTAGTAAAGACTGACTCAGCAAAAACTTGGTAGCTGTGACTTTTCTAAAAAAAACAGATTCCTTTAAAGGATGGATACCTCACTGTCTTGCAGGATTTCATCTGTATGGCTATTTTGCCTCTATAAGAACACACTTATTTCCAAAAAAAGTTATCGTTATTTTAAACTATACTTTTAAGAACATATAACATAGTTTGCAATGTGTTGAAAATTCCTTTCTGATGTTAGCATACTGTTTGCAAAATATAAATGGGGTGAGAAAAAGGTTAAAACACTTTAAATTCGTCTTCTCCCTTTAAACAGTAATGATGAAATAAACCAATGGCTGCAAAGTAGAAAACACCGATTGCTGTACATCTAAATGATGCAAACAAGATGTAAGTTAGAATGTACAAATCGTACTGATTAGTTTGTATCTTATGTCCCATCACATGTCTTAACAGCGTGTTCATAACATAACAGACGTGATCACATTACTCTAGCATACTAAGCAATACATATATTTAGATTGACACTGTTATGTTTTTTTTTGTTATGGTCACTGAAACCGAGGAACTGTTTTTAATGATACATTAAATTTAGTCACTTAAATAGAACAAAATTTTAAATCAACACACGTGTCAACATCAATGCAACTCTAGCATCAATCTCTGTAATAGCGTGCTAAGCCTATTGATATTTCACTTCCACGGAAAACTATAAAAAAATGACATCACACTGATGACAGTCGGAAATGAGCCCGTGAGGAACTATCGCCAGAAGTTGATCTTTCAGGCATCTCACAATCCTATTTCTCATTACTGTTCAAGGCTATCTGTAGACAAAGACGTTGGCTGAGTCCGTACCAAATATTTTATGACTTTCTATATAGACAAGAATTGGTTCGTTTAGTAATCGGGGTATATGCGTTGTTTGAATATGTTTTGTCACCTTGAGTGGCAGAAAAACACTGAATAATTCCGTATACTCCCTTCTCTGTGCTAAAAGCACTTGTTCGCCCCTTGATATTTATAGATATACGTATATATTTTTAAACATAATAAGAGATAAAGGTTTTAAAATTATATATTAAAAAAAGTGCTGAGACAACTCAGACAAATGCAAAACGGATTGGACATGGGATATTGAATTGCGTTGCTACCATTCGCTCAATATAGATTGTTATACAAATAGGTTGTTTTGTTGCACAATATTGGTTTATTATCAGAAAATGACATCAGTGACAAAAAAAACAACACATTAATTAATAACTAAAGTGTATAAATACGTAATAAAGTTAATATACTCGGGTGTACCAACAATAGATACTATATTGATATATATGTAATTATACCAAGCTTGCCATGCAACAACGCTTTTCATTGGTTAAAAACCTTCCAGCAAACTAAGCACGTGCAACGCTTTTCCTTAAATCTATAAATGTAAATGTAAACAAACGAGCCACGGAACTGGATTCCTTGCTAGCGGACGAACAAAAACACTTCTATAAGTACTCGGTAAGGACATTCCGACAAACTGAACGCGATGCTAAATTGAAATAGTGTTAGGAAATCTGTCAAATGCAGATTTCATGTTTTGACGATCGATGTCGAGATATTGGTGCAATTTGATGGATTTCATGTATTGACGATCGATGTCGAGATATTGGTGAAATTTGATAGATTGAAACAAATATCTAATATAAAGCATGACGTCAGTGATAATTGTTTATCATCTGTCTACGAAATCGCGAATAAAAAGAAAGATCTTTTATCACATATCCAGGTTAAATAGAAAAAATAGGACAACTTCCCACAGGGTCAGAAATGACAACAATACACAGCTTGTTGTGAACTGAAGACATATAGGTATCACATGACAGATGTTCCCGCGCGCCAAAGAACAGCTTATTGACATAACTAGAATATCTAGGTCACCTTGTTTATCATAGGAGTATATACACTCAGGTAAACACGAAAAAGACTTTCATTACATTTTACTTGGTAGAATAGATAGCATCAATACATTTTTGTATGTCATGGTGGAAAATATGACTCGAGATTCGAAAATGTCGGAAAAATAATCAACTCAGGCCGAGAGCGGCCTTCGTTAGTTTTTTTCTCTACAACATTTTATCACACTCAGTTTATATTTCACAAAATAAAACTCGCAAAACGTTGATTATTTCTTTAAAAAATCAGATGTATTTAAATGTTACCGTTTTTAAACAAATTCAGGGCTACGTCATTAATGTATAACTGTATTAAGTATATGATAATGAACAAGATTGCAAATATTTTGTACATACAATACTTTTCCTATGTAACAGAACCGTGACAAGAAACATGCTAATTACTATTGAATGTGTCAGTAAGGTAAATGGTAATGCTAACTTCACAAACCATACAACACTAACATTGGTAAGTATTACAAAACAGCTGTTCTACAATACCCACCCCAGGCATGATCACTCGTTCTATATCGCGGAAAATGTCGTGCCAGGGTTCGCCTTCCGTCGGTGCTGTTTCCGGTACCAAATTGCGCATGTATCCAGGTTGCACATCCGGGAATACTCGCCTCGTTCTGATCGTCTTCAGATAATCTGCTATATAATCCACCATATCTTTTCCTGAAAAAGACGAAGTCATAAAATAAGGTTGATTCGTTGTGTAAAACAACTCCCTCTCTGATAGCATGCTGGTACTTATGGCATTTGCTGTTTAAGTGCAGATGAAGGAATAGTAAAGGGATTTGTTTGTCTTCTCCAAAAAATCAACGTGAGCATGGCGTGGGAATGTAAAATTACATTTATTTACTCTTTATTTTCTTACTTTCGATATACTGAAAATGTCAGTTATGCTATATTTTGTAACCCGATTCAATGCTATACTTGTCAGTGTAACGCTTGTCAGTCCGCTTCAAATAACCTATCAGAAACAATCGCATAGATGACTAGGAGTAATGAAGTGACGGTAACTCAATATCCAGTTTAGTGAGAGAGGTGCACACAGGAAAGTGAAACAGAGAACACACCCTGTATGGTAAAATACATAAAATGGAAGTATACTTGTTAAGCGGTATTTATGGTGTTAAAAATAGTAGATTGCATTCAGTGTTAGTTATGAAGCTGAAACCCCTATGTTTGCTATATAAATGGGGGGAGCTCTACCTAATATCAGGTATCAAATAACCAGGACTATTCAAATTTAGTGGAAGTAAATGAATTTTGGAAAAAAATGCAATTTCAAATTTCATCCAATTAAAGTAATAACTGTGTTCTAAAAATAATAATGATAATGTCCAAAAGTATATATTGTTTTCTTTATCTTTTTTCTTTTTTTCTTTCTTTTCCATATTCATACAGAATAACACTTGTGACTGATGACATCATGTGCGCTAAAGAGCCGGTCATGGTCCTTCTTAGACACATTTAAACATTAGAATAATATCTATCTACATGTAACTAACAAAATAGTGTGACCTTTCCATTCTAGTGATGTATCAGCGTAATTGGTTTAGTTCGATCAATATCTGTTGACCCGTGTTTTGACCTCGTCCTATTAGGTCACTGGCCAAATTACACCGGAACTAACTTGGTTAAATGGGAGGTCAGAAATAGAACTACACTCAAATACCCCTTTTATTATACAATTATATAGCATGATCTACACCAATTCAAGGTCGTCGTTTCATGTAAAGATCCGTTTCTATAAAATAATCAGATGAACTGTTATTGTTCGTTTGTTTTTTGTGTTATAATGATTCGAAATATCTATAGCCTAAATAAACAGTTGAAATACGGCTAATTTGTCTGATGCCTTGAATAATATATTTGCTAATCGATAACAAATTTCCTAAAGCAATATAATACAATAATTCGATTTGGTTTATTATTTTGAGCTGGTTTGTCTGGATCTAGTTGTGCCAACCCTCATTACCAACACATTAAGTATAATTTTCCCTATTTTCAAACTCACAATTTTCCTGGCTATGATCACACTTGATCACATTACTTAATGAATTCAGTTCTCACATAATCAATTTAAATTCTGAATTAGACCACACCAAACTTAACGTAAGGTCGAGATAGTGAAGCTCGTTATAACCTAGGTCTGACTAGTAATTTATTATTTCAATATCTTCTTCTGATCTTGACAAACGGTTTCCTTTTTCGTTTCTCTTTGTTGGTTCACAGAAATTGTATAATAAATCCGAACAGGAAATGTACGAGATAAACTAACAATTAAGAAGATAACAAAAGTTGATTAAAGTTCAGAATGAAAATAGGACCCTCCAATGGACTATGATCGTCAGATAGACCCGGTATCGATCGGCTAATGTTACCGTCGCTCCCGGGGGGTTCCGATAATGACTGCCCAGTCATCATATCTAACGAATACGAACGGATCCGGTAGATAGACTTCAATAATAGATTTATTGGCTATATACTGCCAAATGTGAGCAAACCTATTCAATATTTATTACACGAGAATATCACACGAGATGTGGACACTTGCTTTTTACCTTAGATAGGTCGCGAGAGTTACCGTGACCTTTAAACATCTCGACGCAATAATCCCCGATTTCTCCATATAGCACAGCTAAAATGAACGCGTTCGCTTCGGAATTATCTACATGTATAGTCACTTTTGATCTTTCACAAATTGCTCACCATTCAGGGGGGCCTGGGTCAGAAAAACAAAGTTTCCTCATGTCTAAAACCCCACTCGGAGAACGTAGGTGATTTCCTTCTGATGTTTTTTTCAGAGGTTTTAGCGTGACATTGTCTTTCTGTCGTGAATTAAGCTAACTCCTGTTGTGTAGACACATGTATACTGGTCAGGTAGCTCTAATTTATCACTAACGTAATTCCGGAATACTGGTACGGAATCCGGCTTTGTTTTTAATACCGGATCTCCTGTCCGGAGACCGGCTTCTTTTGTCAATTTTATTAGTGTAGTAACGGTGTGGTGAATGTGTTTGCCCCTATCTAATATGAAGATGCAATGGCGAGTTTTACTCTGGAAGACAATATTATGCACAATATTACACTACAAGATTATACTTAGAAGTATAAATGTACGTATAGCTGTGTTCTGTACCGTTTTCGCCTAAGTTTCTCTACGTCGATACTATAAAGTGCCAGGACAACAACCTACCTCAGCATCTTGAAATGCAAACTTCAAATTTGTTATTTAAATTACTTACTTTATTAAACAATTTGAATTTATAATTATAAACACTTTTTTTATAGGACAATCCTGCAATATAACTTTTTCTGAATATTTGCCACTGTATTAAATTTCCAGTATGTAACCCTACCAAATTCAGATGACATTCAAATTATCAGCTATGAATGCCATGGCACATGAAGTTACCATTATTATGACGTTAACTTGTAACGTTAGAGACCACTGGTCCTCCATTACAAGTAATTGTTTTATTCATCACAATAACTACGCTTATTTGAGTTATTTTTTGCCTTTGTTTTGATAAATTCATTTGATATTTTATATCATTAAAATATTTCAAAATGTCTTCATGGCGTTTTTATTTCCAGTTGGCATTGACATTGACTATAAAATGCCAACTGGGAGCAAGCCAGTGTTTAAACGTTCTGTTGTGTGAAGTATTGCTAGGCTGACAATACTTTGTCGAGAAGAACACCGGATTTGATATGGAGATGAGGTGAATTAATTGATTAAACTGTGACCGCCGTCAACACTTCTAATTCCAATAACTTCACTAAATACACGATGTGATTAACGCGTGACGGCTGTGCTATCAATTGTAGCTAGCCAGAGACACAAAACCATGGCCGATAGACGAATTTATTCCGGAAAAGCCCGGAAATTCTCGAAAACAAACGAACTTAAAAGAACCGACTAATTCTCAAAACACAATCAGATTTAAAAGTGCCGACTAAGACATACTACAGAAACATGTCAATCTTCAATCCTTTATACAAACGTGATATAGTGTCATTCATTGTTTTGCCACTTTTTTAAGGTCTTCTTATCCTTTCTTCGTCAACATTTTATCATTTTGTCGTACATAATTTGGAAATATAACGCAGTTTTCCTCATACAGTAATGATTAAAACTTATTTTATAGAAATAGCAAGCAGTTAAACTAGTTAATCACCTAAGTGAAGAGACTATCGATATATATCGGGTGGTCGGGTGGCGCAATGGATAACGCACTCGCCTTTCGCCAAGGCGGCCGGGGTTCAATTCTCCAATCAGACATGAGGTATGGGGTCACCTGCCCGATCAAGTGAGTTTTCTCCGGGTGACCCCCGGGTCCTTCCCACATTAAGACCCAACCCTCTCACATTTATATTCACCCCCTGTGTTGAGAAACAACTTTAAATGTTCCCCGATTTAGTGATTTCATTGTACCTGAACCTGCGTTTAGATTACACCTGCATTAAGAAATCACTTTAATTGTTCCATCATGTAGTTATTTCATTAAACCTGCATTAAAAGATTACCTGTGTTAAGAGACCCCTTTTTAACTTCCCGATGGTGCTATTTGAATACAGGTTGGACTATGTGACGTATAAATGGAGACTATATTCAGAACAGCAATTCATAGACATACACGCAGGTCGTCATGGCGCAGGTGCAATGAGGCAACAGTCTAACGTGGAGGTCCGAACGTGAAGCAGACAAACTCGAGCTAGAGCACTTGTAAGACACTGTCGTCTTGCCAGTAGCTACAGTGAGGTATCTTGTCTGTCACACAAGGTAGTGACAGATGGTAAAAGCTGCGTCCAAATACCAGAGTCCCCTCCGTGATTGTGTAAAGTATCGTTAGCTTACAGACATGTCAATGTGAAACACTTAAATCGTTATACACTTGTTGTAACTGAAGTTAGATAGGAATGTACCAACAATGGTGAAGTTTGAACATTATTTAAAAAGATAATTTAAATCTGAAGATAATCTACATAGTCAAAGTTTAATCATTTCACCACTGTAGATCACAATGGACACATTAATATCAATGCATGACAGAGTATACTACAGTTACTTAGGGGTGAAAGGGCTAAATCCTGGTTACCGAGTTGGTTAAGCCTGCAATGTTGCATACATGATGTTTAAATTTGTGTATCGAGTTTGTCAAGCTGGCAGGGTTGTGGACGTTGTGTCGGTATACCGTAGCGCGGAGCCGTAGGGTGTACGTGTCTCAAGCTGTTATAAATTGGCGGCACGACAGCTAAAGCATCGGGCACAGACATTAGTATCGGACAACCATTAATTAAGACAAGCAAGAGGCATACTACAATGTTGTTTATAGATTAAAGTTGCGGTTACACTGCTCAGTGGGGAACGACGAACGGCAGTATACTCACATTTGTACACAGCTTTGTGCAAGTAAAAATAGATAATCCAGTCCACACATAGACTGACCTTTGTCCAGTCTATGAACGTTAAAGTTAAGGAGTGAACGTTTAGTTTATTTAGTTGAAATGGCAATAACATTCTATTTAGAGCCATATCTTAACGGGATAAGGCTGGTACAACATTACTACTGCTTCTAACGTCACGAGTGATACCTTCCTCAGAAAAAAAAGTGCGCATGTTAAAATTATGGACGATATTACTATTGTAAAATAGAAAAGTA